TGTATTGACTAAATGATATTTTATTCTACTGAAACCTATATACAATTCAGCTATCAAAGAGCTCTCTTTTTCATCGGAAAAGCAAATAAATTGAAAAGGCAAGGCTCTTGCAGTTTTGATCCTTGAAATCGGGTACCCTTTTTTTAAGTTTTCTTGTGTTTTCCTTGATGGGTTCTCACTCTTTTACCTTGTGATCTTGCTTTATGTATCTGGGTTTACGTTGTTGCTTTGGATCAGTGCTTGGTCTAGTTAGAAAGCTATGATTTTTGTGATCAAGATCTAGTTTTTATGTTCATTCAAGCCTTGATCATGTTCATATCGTTTCTTCTGATGATTTATGGTTTCCAGATTAAGTAGTTGAGGTTTGTGTATTCTAGTTCTTGGCTGTAGTGTGCGGCAAGATCGCATAGAAAGAGTGTTCCTTCTTTTTCAACATATATATATTGTTAAGCACTTGATGATATGATGTATGGTTCTGAGGGAACACATATAAATAAAGGAATAAAATAATAATAAAGAAGATGATATGTTTTGGCTTAGTCTTCTAGAAAAGCAGGCGATGGCTTAGTCACATTATTCTATCAAAAGAGTAAATGAGGTTATAGATTCTGTATAAGAACCAAAGAGGTGACACCTAAATTAATGTGATTCTTTTGTTTGCAATTGTTGTATACTTCCTCATTTAACAATACGTGATTATGTGATTCTTTTGTTTCATTTATCTCTTCTGTTTGGGCTTGAATTCAAGATTCAATATTTCCTTTAAAGTGTATTAGTCTTTGCATTTATCTTGAGATTACACAACGGTGAACTTGCAATTGGTTGAGTGATAATTGTTGTTCTTTCTTGTGTGACAAGTAGATAAAGATTAAAAATAGATAATGGCAACATCTGGCTCTGGGTCTTCTTCACAATCTAGTAGAGGTAGGACTTATATAACATGGGCACATGTTATTGGGGTGTAGATCCAAATGGAAGGAAGACGTTAAAATGTCTTCACTGTGGGAAAGTAATTAGAGGAGGAGGTATTTTTAGAATGAAACAGCATCTAGCTGGAACAAAGGGGGATATTGGTGCTTGTTTAAAAGTTCCTTTTGATGTTCAATACTTGATGAGAGAATCACTAAAAGACATTGGGATAAAGAATAAAGAGAAGGCTGATTCTAGTAAGTATAATACTCCCTACGGTGCTCCCGTACATGGATTTGAGGGAGATATGTTAAATGAAGATAGTGAAGAGTTTCGTCCATCAAAAATTCACATAAATGAAGGTAGGTTTGGCAGTAAAAAACAAAGTACAATGCTAGACAAATCAAAAAGAAAAAAATCTATTGAGGTTGGTGACTATTTTGCTCCAAGGACAATTGGCGGATCTCAACCATCAATTAGGAGTTGTTTAGCTGGAAAAGATGCGACGTGGAGAGCAGACATGGCTTTTGCAAGATTATTTTATGATGCTTGCATCCTAATTAATGCTGTAAATTCAATTTATCTTCAGCCTTTGGTGGATGCTATAGCTGTAATTGGGCTTGGGTATAAACACCCAAATTATCATGGTTTGCGTGTCAATTTGTTAAGAGATGCTAAGAAGGAAGTGTAGCTTCTTGTTGATAGTTACAGAAAGATTTGGGAAAATGTTGGATGTACTTTAATGGCTGATGGTTGGATTGATAATTCACATAGGTCATTGATCAATTTTATGGTGTATTGTCCTAAGGGAGTTTGTTTTGTGAAATCAGTTGATGCTTCAGATGTTGTGAAGGATGCTGGGACATTGTTGAAGATGTTTGAGGAGGTAGCTTTATGGATTGGACCAAATAGTATTGTCCATTTTGTCTCCGACAATGGATCCAATTATAAAGTTGTTGGAAGAATGTTGTCTGAGAAACATCCGAGTATTACTTGGTCACCCTATGCAGCACATAACATAAATTTGGTGTTAAAAGACATAGCTGAGATGGATCACATAGTTTATCTTGCGAGACGTGCTTCTGAGGTGACGAAGTTTATATATAATCATACATTCTTGATAGCTTGGTTGAGGGAAAGACAAGTAATATACCTTTAGCTCATGTTCTTGTCAAGTCATAACATAATCTGCATTTTTTATAATTGACTAACATCTATTATTTATCAATTGAACAGGGTTGGAAAGAAATTGTTCATCCGGGCGCAACCCGTTTTGCTACAACTTTCATTGCAATGAAAAGCATTCATGAGAACAAACATGACTTGCAAGCCATGGTGACAGATAAGTCATTTGTCGATTCTTGATATGCAAAAAGTAATAAAGGCAAATATGTTATTGACATAATTCTAGATAACGATTTTTGGGATGATATGAGTAAGATATCCAAAGTTGTGAGTCCATTGATGCGCTTGTTGCGGATTGTTGACTCAAATGAGAGCCAGCAATAGGATATGTGTATGACAGCATGTACAGAGCGAAAAATGCAATTAAGAAGTTGTTTAAGAATAAAAAGATATTCTACAAGCCTTATACACGAATCATTAAGCTACGCTGGGATAGGACGTTGCGTTGTGATATCCCTGCTGCGGCTTATTATTTGAATCCTGCCTTTAAATATGACGAAGAATCTTTTTGCCTCAAGCCAGAAGTCATGAGTGGTTTCCTTGATACTATTGACAGTAAAGCAAGTGCTTTCAATTTGAACAAGACAAGGTTAATGGAAGAGAGTAAATTATATTCAAACCAGGAGGAAAGCTTTTCTCGTGGGCTTGCTCTTGAAACCGCCAAAACCACACGTCTTGGTACGTAATAGTTATAAAATTTATGAGTTCTTTTGTTTTTTAAGTCTAATTTATTTATTATGTTTAATTTTCAATTAGATGAATGGTGGAGATCATTTGGGTATAGTACTCCAAATTTGCAAAAGTTTGCAATAAAAATTCTTAGCCAAACTTCAAGCTCTTCGGGATGTGAACGAAATTGGAGTGTTTTTGAGCGCATACATACTAAAAAGAGGAATAGATTGGAGCATCAAAAGTTGAATGATCTTGTTTTCGTTCACTATAACTTGCGTTTGCAAAACAGGTATAAAACATTGTCAATTACTCAATTATGCATTACTCTTATTGTTATTATCTATTATTTTCCTTGATATTTTAGTTGTCATGCTTTTAATATTTCATTATGATATTTTAGGAAGTGTTACAAGAGAATAAGTTTGGATCCTATTGATTATGAAAGTATCGACAAAACTGAAGGTTGGATAGTTGACGATAAAGAGGAAGTCAGTGAACTTAATTATGAGGAGTTGGAACAAATGTTATATAGAGAAGGATCTATTCCTACTGGAGTTGCTGATCACCCTTCTTTTTATGATTCAACTGATGGTTCAGAAGGTTGGTTTCAATTATTTAAGCAATTTAATATCTATTTAAATTAAATTACAAGTTTTAACTTATGATTTCTATTTTTTACTGAAATTTGCGTAGATGATGGTGATGGTTATGATGATGATGATGGTGATGATGGTGATGAATTTTGATGCTAGTGTGTGAGGCTCAATCAACATGGAGACGGATCAAAGAAAAAACACTTGCATAAAATGTTTTGTTATTAATTATTATGTATTTTGTCATTTAATATGTAAATACAACATCATGTTTGGATTTGGACTTTGAATTGTTGTTAAATACTTAAATTATATTGGGATTGTTGTTGAATTTGAACTTTGAATCATATTGGACAGTAATTAAGTTGTTATTGTCTTATTAAAAAATAGAAATCTGAAGAAAAAAAAAACAAAAAAATTTAAAAATGTGTTGACGTCATCATGATGTGTGCTAACGTCACCGGTCCAACCGACGGTCTAACCGGTTGGATTGGTTGAATCGTGACCCGACCAGTAAAGCGGGTTGCCCTCTGATCCAGTTTTTAAAACAATGGACGGAAGTTGAGAGAGTGAGGTGTTTGTGTTAACCTAATCATTTTTTCCATATGTCTATGAAATGTTGAAACCTTATAGGAGGTCCATATAATTAACTCCACAACAATATTGTCATCATAAATCAGTTTTGAAACACTTAGCAAGTTCTATATAATGGAATGAACTATGAAAACATCATTAAGCTTAAGCAATTTTAAGTGTTAATATTTAATTTAGTGTTACAATAATTAGAGATATGGAGAGCTTTGTTGTTTCCCACTACGACATAAATCAAATAGGTTTTATCAACCAGAAAATGACTACCATCCCTTTGGGCTAGAAATTAATCTTATTTTTCTAAATTTTGATTTTATAATGGCATCAATATTTTTAACCTATAACACATGGGCTTATTCGTACAACTAAATGTAACACTCCTAACTTAGGATCCTTTTCTTTTTTAATAGAAAAAAATTCGTATGTAGATTTACATTTGTCATCCAAATACCTCGTATTTATAATACTGAAAATATCAAATTTAATACCGAAAGAACACGACTTGTGTTTCAAGGAGTTGAGTCAAAGGCATGGACATCTTCTTATATCGTGCCCAGAACTGTTTCCCCACTTCATTTTCCAAATTGTGGATCGAGATAATTGAAGCAAATGTAAAAGAATCCAGAGACAATGTCAAAGAATCCAAACGCTTTCCGTCTCCATTGAATTTTAAGTAATTGGGTCATTGTCGAAGTTTTGATCCCCTTGAGTTTTTGTTGTCACCTAGAAAACAATTCTCTACATTCCTCCTAATTTCCATCATACACCAAATTCTGTTTATTACACTCTTTCAAATATTAGATTTTTACATGTCTCACGATGCTTAAAAGATTTAATTGAAAAAAAAAAATAATAGACTCTAAGCTTAATACAAATTTCAGGATAAATGAGATTAGAGCTAGTACCCATAATCCCACATCTAGAGTCATTAAATGGTTATGCTCATTCAGAGATGTGAATTAGGTTGGGGTTTGAAGTTTGAACAATGAATGAAATCCAAGTGTTTTAAGTAAAAACAAGATTAAAAAAAAAACATTTTATAACCAAAACTTCAAAAATATTATGTCAGACCAAAATGCTTCTTATCTTCACACAATCGTTACATTGTACAAAGCAGAGTTGACAACTACAGGAAGCAAACACCTCTATGATACAAGGATGCCCACAAAGATTTTAGTATTATATCTCTCACCATCACATACAAGGACCTCATGTCCTCTTGATAGAGAAAAAAATATTAGACCTAAAAACGAGGAATAAAATATATATATATATAAAAACTAATGAGAAAAATAACCAGCACTACCAACCCATAGAAGAAACAACAATGACTGACTTCTACCTGCCTGTCGCTCAATTTACAAAAGGTGGACGGTCCAAACTGCAACTCTTTACGCATTAAACCAACGTAAGCCTGCCTGCCTGCTGCCTGTCACCTGGTTCTCTAAGTAATCTTCATCATCTCAAGGCCTATTAATTGTGGCCAAAACCAAATTTTCAGAAAGCCCTCAGATTTCTTCAGGAATATAGGTTACACGTTCAAGATTTCCTGTATATGGCAACATGCTCTATACAGAACACCAGATACTCCAGGTGGTAGCATGAGCCTAAAATGAGAGTATACAAAGCAATTGTATAGAGACAGATTACTATATCCAAGCAAGAGAGCCCCGATCGTTTGGTACTTGAGGACGGCCTCGAGTTGGTGTAGGAGGTCTGTTAGCATTAAGCTCCTAATTGCAAGAAACCAATAAACAAAATAAACACTGGGAACATTATACAAAAATCTCACTATTCAGTGCAGATGGATTTTTTAATTAGTAGCACCTGCATCCATGTATCTTCTATATGTCGTTCTGGTGATGCTTCAGGCGATGAAATTGCTGGCGGCAAAGGATGAATGAGTTTCGGAACCACCACAAGATCTCTACCCAAAACTAAGATTGCCCCAGCATTATTTGCAGTACCTATAGATTCAACCAAGTGAAAAAGGCTGAACACCGGTGGCACCGGTGGTACTCAGAAACTACATCAATCGAAAGGGAGAGGCTACATACCACAGTAATTGGTAGCTGAGAAAAGTGTAATTAAATGTCCTTGGGCAAACCGCTCAAAGCCATCCATCACACATTCATGTGCACGTACAATCAACTGAAGATCATTGTTATTGCAAAATTCCATAACTCGATCAGGCTGCAAAAAGCAAACTTTCTAACATGAGCACATGCAGAACCAAAACAAAAGACACCAGGTGCAAAATTTTCCAGTATGAATAGGTTAGCATATTGAAAACTGTTTTAGAAACCATTAATCCAAAAAGTTGATGCTGATAGACAACAGTCCATAAGTAGCATTTAAATTTTAACATGCCTCTTCACATGCATGGTTGAATTTGATTAACCCACTTACAATGTGAACTCAACAGATGCAATCACAGGTCTAATCTGCTTCATGTCATAATTTTATCAATAGAATGAAGTAATTATCAAGATTTGGACAAAAGCCCTAAATTCTCATAATGCCAGTTTGTTACTATCTAAACTGATAAAGCTGATGAACTGATAAAGCTGATGAACTGATAAAGCTGATGAACTGATAAAGCTGCATTCATTGGCAAGATCAAAGAAATGAATGGATAATTTGATTTCTTTTGAAACAAGGATTAAAAAGTAATTACGTTTAGTACCAGCTCCACACCTCCAACCATTGAATTGTTATGGATGAATGGCCCTAAATTTATGTTAACAATTGAAGTAAAAAATTTAAGGAATGGTACAAGGATGAATAAGTGGAATCCCCATTGCTTTGGTTAATTGCCAAGTCTTCAATGATTATTAAAGACTGAAAACCACAAAGACATGGACTTGTTCACAAGGGGAGGGCAGAGGGGATTACAAGGTTAAAAAATGATGAATGCACAGCTTGAAACTAAAATCCTGGATTTAGGAATTTCAATCTGCAAATTCAGACCACATAATAGGGAGAAAATAGCTTTGAGCATGGAGCCCTATCTTTTAAAACATGCTAAATTTCATAGACAATCTCCAAATTCTGGTAATTGTTTAAAAATATATCAGCACAGGGAATGGCATCAGCGCATAAAAAAAGGCTAATTTCTAGAATCTCTGCGAATCCTTGACCATTAAAAGTTGAAATCTTCAGCCATCTCTTTCTCTAAAAAGTGTCCTTTAAAATTATATGCTAGCACCAGAACTTATGCGGAAATCTATTTAGCTCTATAAATATTAAAGTTTTTGTGAAGCACATTATAACAATATAAAAATAGAAGAAATGGAAAGACACTCACCCCAAAAGTAACTAACCCTGGACCCCTAGCATTTGGTCGCAGTCCTTCCACACTGTCATTTTCTGTCGGATCAGACCTAGGGAAAAAAAAAGGCATATTACAAAGTCATTGAAAAATCAGAACATAATTGAAAGCGTCAAAGTGAAACAGTATAGACATGCACTGACCACAATAGATCCATAAGCACAATTGAACCGGCTTCCATAGTAATCGGACGTTGAAGATTTTCAATCTGTTCCACATGATTTATTGACCGACCAATACCTCCATGCATACAAATGATTTTCTTTTCAATTAGAGCAGCCAAAGGAAGCCAATTGAATAAACGGTTTATCCTATGCCAAGCCCAAATTCCATCTCTCTCACCCTGTTCAACAATGCATTAGATTGCTAGAAAAAGCAGTTAATACTAATGTAAACAGACCCTTTCAAAAGCATAGATAAAAATACCATGCGCTCAATGCACTCAATCCTGAAACCAAAAAGGGCATTAATGTCTGCAGCTTCATGGTTCCCACGAATTAGATGTACGTTGTTGGGATATTCAACCTGCAAAATTGACATAATGATACAACAATAAGTCCATCTCTAAGAAAAAGTTCAGTTTGAAAGATTAATGATATAAAAAAACGAAAAAGCCAAAGAAAAGGTACCTTCAAAGCAAGCAGAAGAGTAATGGTCTCAAGGCTGTGTTGACCACGATCAACATAATCTCCTAAGAAGAGATAATCAATGTATCTGCAGTCATTCATGAAATTAAGCGTCATGGAGTTTCCCAGGTTAAACTTGATTGTAAAATGTAGCAATCAAAATGTATTCCAATGCATAAAGCAGTAATCTTGCAACAGCGAATAAAGCACCCACCTATGCTTATAGGAGGACAAAAATAAACCCACATGATCAAAATAAAAGAATGGAAGAGACAGAATGCGAGCATGACAGAATGCATGAGTATGTAAGTGGGAGAAAGGAGGGATGGAGAAGGGGGAATATAACATTAATAAGCCTCCTATCCTGCCAAAATAAATGAAAATAAAAAACCTCCTTCAATTCCAAGATACTCATATATTAGTCTCACAGCCATGCTTCCAAGCACATGGACATTTTACACCTTTTAGCAGAATATTTGCTCTGAGAAACATGGGTAGAACTTGACAAAGTAAACCAACTTCTCCAAGTCTGAGCGACCTCTGAATCATTCCCAACCCTAACCAAGACGACATGCATCTAAAAACTTGGAAACTCTTAAGTTCAAGACCTCTAATTCAAGTGGCTGACCACATTGAACCACGTGATGTAACATGAAAGAAGCTCCAGCTAATTTCTATTCTAACCTGGGACTTGATTAACAGACTAACCCAACTTACAGGTAAACTTAATTATGTGTTTCTTGTCCCATTTTTTTTAATCCAATAACAAACTGCATAAAATTTATTGGTAAGAAAAGAAAGTATAAAACAGACATGAACTAGTGGTCCACCTCAGGGTTATTATTAAGAAAAAAATAACCACCAGCACAGAAAGAGCATCAACTATATAATCTTATTCACCCAATAATCAATATAAAATCACATCCTAGTTCTCCAAAATGAAGGATGGAGAACTTTCCTGAAACTCTTTTAGTATTGTATGCCACAAAAAAGGTACTGTACCTGAGAAAACCAAACATTTCTTTTATAATGTGTTAAAAGTTTCCTTTTATTTCTTCATTACAGTAAATATTAGAAAAATGATTGTCAAAAACTGTATTTACTTTAAAAATAATTTAATTCCACTTAAGAACAGACCAGACTAGAATAATGTGTACTAAAA